TCCCATTTCATTCGAGTTCACTTTAGTGTTATTAGGTAAAGTTTCTTTTGGTATATTGGTCATTGAACTGGCCAATTGTCTTGGCTAAGTTTCAATATTTCTAATAGATGCAACATGATTTTGCAAGTGTTCCCATATATAATACTAATTCTTTCAATGATAATTTATTCCATAAATTGATTATGGGAAGTAAAATTGGATAGATGGAGTGGTCTAGGGTCTAAAATTTTGTTGTATTTGTTATAAAAGATTTATACAGGGTTTCCTATATTGTTCTGTTTATTAAGATTTTTATGTTGAATTCATTAAGGTTTACCTAAATTCATGTATATGCTTATAAGACATATATCTAATAGTTATTCCTTATATTTTATCTATTTTCTTTAAAAATAATATTAATTTCTCTATCATAGTTTTTAGTATTGGAATAAGGATTGTTCTAACTATTATTCACCAACTTCACCAATTTCATATTCTGAAGAGAAAAATCATCTCATTAATCAATATTACTGTCATCAAAATTTATAAGTGATCCTTAACTCTAATTCAAGCATAGAGTGTTTAAATTCATAGAAATGACAACCACTTGTGAGTTAAAATGGACAATATATCAATTTCTTACACACTAGCTACAATTATAGGGTTTAATCCATCAGATGCTCATTAAAACTATTTATAGTCACTCTTTTATCAAAGAAAATACCTCGTCAAAAGATTTTGATATTAGCAATCCATTACTTGGCATCTACTATAGAGCTCAATGATCCAACTAATTTATTATAAAATATTAGAATTATTAACAATATGAAAGCTGTCTTGAAAATATTTTCTTAATAATTCCATAAATCTCTCCCAGACCTCATAAATTGAGTCATTATTCAATTAGGTGAAGATTATAAAATTATTCATAAGCTTGGAAGTCAAATAAAGGAAAATATTTGGCTAAAATTTTTTTAACTAGTTTATTCCAAGTACTTATAAAGTATAAGAGTAAGAAATTAATTCAAAACTTAACTTTGTCTCTGAAAGAAAATGAGAAAAACCTAGCTTAAAAAGACTTTTGGATACCCCGTTGTGTTTAAAGGTTGCATAAATTAAAAAAAAAGTTGTGTAAATTTGGATCCATTACAATGAACCTTTATACTATATATTTTATACTATTTCAATTATTACATGTTTTAGCTCAAAATTAGTAGTTTGAATTATAGACATTTTTATGCTCTGATGAATCTTATCTTACAAAGGTTTTACATACTCTATTTTTGCTAGGGTGATCTATTTCATCAGATGTTTTTGTCATGACTTCATCATGGTTTTGAATTTTCATCTATTTGCATTTTTTTGTAGTTTATTTTCAATTTTTCTGTAAAACTATAATAAACCTACATTTAATCTTATATGCATGTCTCATGGAGCATAATTAAGATAAGTGACAACAACACAACAAGCAATAACATTGGAATGTCAATGGATCGACCGTCTAATGTTATCTAAATGATTAAACAGTGCAGTAATATACTATGTAGTGAGCTAAGAAATTCAATAAGAAATCACTTTGAAACAACATTTTGATAAGGACAATTAAACAAAAGAAAAATGATGCAATATTAAGCACTAAAACTAGCACAAAAGTAAGATTAAAATGAGATTTTAAAACCAATATTAACATAAACATAATTCATCATCTGTCACAAAAAATGGTGCCAAAAACTTAATTGGAGGACACAGTATATGGAACTGTACCAATCGTTCTAATGAATACAGTAATGATTTGAGTATCATTCTCACAAGAATTGAATCATGAATTAGCTAAGTTAATTGCAAAATTCTTTAACATTAATTGTTCAGTAATTCAAATATTTTTCAAAAGAAAATTATATTCAATGCAAATCAATATTTTTAGTAGTTTTTAGATATAAGAAAATACTTTGAATTAATGATTTGTCTAAAATGATTATTTAAACTAATGTGATTTATGCAAGCTATGCTTTTGTTGTTAATCAATAATATGATTATTTCTT